TGAAGTGTGCTGTTAGGAAAATTTAGTGGTGTTTTTTTTCTACTCTTCGTTATGTTCCAACTGCCAAGGGATCTTTTACCATTTATGTGTAACCTTTCAACACTTGGTAAATATTAATTACCCCTGTTCCTTAAATAATATTAAAAGAAAAGGTACCTATATATCCCTGACCGGATCGTATATCAGCATGTGGGTGGGGGGGGGCACCATAGTTACATGTATTCATATCACTCACATTGAACATTAGTTACAGGATAAAGGTTTCTAGAGTACTGAAAACAATTTATCTTCTTCTCCTTCTTTCAAACAAGAGAAATAGAAATGGGGTTTAACGTCCACTCGACACAAACTATGTCATTCTGGGACTAACAAAACTAAAAGTATTATTATATAACGTACACATGGACACACACAATATGTACTAAAGGATGACATTTGTTAGCTGGTCGTTTACAGTCACGTCTGCCATGTACATATATAATAAGACTTTATAATCAGATATTGATCCTGTGAATAGACTTGATCAACAAGACATATTGACTGATGGAAAACATCAACAGGTTCTCGTTAAGTAGTCAGGATTAAACTTCCCAATTACATGTATCTGTTGTACTTCTGATAAATAAATAGAACAATATTTTACGTCTTTTCAACACCCTCATTACAGTTTTGTTATATGTCAGTCTTTTTGCGACTATGATTGTGATGGGGTTTAACATCCTACGTTTCTGCATCAACTGGGCTAATAAAGACTGGAATATGTCATGGAGTTGGAAGATTTGCTCATACAACAGCGTTGACATCAATTCTTGATCAAATTCTAACTGTCAATATATTAAAGGTTTGTTTGATACAATTAAAGTTTTTTTCGACACAGTAACCACACAATTCATTAAACCACTACATTGGCTTTATATCTGGACAAAAAAATTTAAAATCCCTGGATTAATGGTGTGTTTGGTTCATTTAAGTTTTTTTCGACACAGTTAATTAAACTATTAGATCGATTTTATCTTTGGACATAAAATTTTTCAAATCCCTGGAATGACAATCAGCAGCTTTAGACTATATCGTTAATTATAAACACACGATCTTGTGAATTAAATCATGCTTGTGTATATAAACACACAATCCTGTGAATGACAATCAATGACTTTAAAGTACGTGTATATCATTATTAATAAACACACGGTCCTGTGAATCAAATCACTCTTGTGTAAAATTGAAATTTTACCATGATAATAAACTGATATCTTATAGTTATTTATGACACCATGGATAAACTGATATATATCCAACATTATATATACCAGTTAATAACTTTATAGTTATTTATGACTTGATATATCTCCAACATTATATATACCCCTAATAACTTTATTTAGTCCCCATAGAAAATTAGACAAAGTTTCATTATGCACTGTGTTATACAAATTATCTAAATATAATAAATAGTGACAAATTGTTATTTTATGGTCTGGCCATGAACAACACTGATTTATATAGACATTATTTTGAAAAGCTACCAGATGAGCGAAAAGTACTTTAAAATTGTTAAAATGTTATTAAACCAATAATGAAAACAGTTTGTGTCGATTCATTGTTTACCATGCAACAAAATAGTGCACTAAGTTTTAGAATTGATCTAAATATCATCATTAGTGAATATAATTACAGGGCCTTTGTGATATCTGACTTGTTTTTTAAACTATATTTTATTCAATAAGAATCTGATGGAGCAACAAGCTAGGCCTATATCCCCCATCTCCCTTCAACAAAACAAGATAATTACTATTAGTAAACAGGCTAGGCCTATATCCCCCATCTCCCTTCAACAAAACAATATAATTACAATTAGTTTACTTAAATATATGTATATTATGAAAGAAAATATTTTTACAATAAAAGGTTATTTGTTTAGAACATGTTTGATGATGTCTATAAGGCCTGAATGTAACATAATATGCCAGATGACAGTACACTAATAGCATAGAGGTAAGGACAGAGAAAGTAAGGCGAGAGAGAGAGAAATGGGGTTTAACATTTACTCGACACAAACAAGGTCATTTCTGGACTAACACATGATTGAATTTTATTTCAATAATTTGCTTGCGTGTAGGGGTCTTTTACAGTGGGAGGAAATCGGACCTGGAGAAAACCCACGAGGTTGGACATGTAATCCTACTCCTTGTCGCGTACAACCATGGCAATTGACTCAATGACAGACCTTATGATACAGCGTGCACATGCTAACCATTCGGCCATCCACCCTCCCCCCCTAATAATAGAAGATTACAGTACTTAACATCGTACTTGTTTTATGACCTGGGAATTACAAGCAATAAACCATGGTAAAAAAAAAAGGATATCTCCGGGATTCAGCACAAATTTTTAAATTTATCACAATGACTCTGAGGTGATAAATAACTATTTGATATCCCTATATAAGTCTGGTGATTTATTCATTATTATTATGCTGAGGTGAAACTAATACATCTCTGGAATTATAACACTATTTTTATAACTGGTTTTAAGTTTTTCTAGTATACTATTCAAAAAAAGTAGGGGATATTTGATTTTGGGGGCATAATACTAAAATATGCAAATGACTACGAAAAAAGTCACTATAGAACCTAACAGAAGAAACATTTCCAGTTACATGTGACGCCCAAACGCACCAATAGCTACCGCATGGAATGCATGTGATGCTTGGGATCATCATGGGGGTCCAACCCAAGATTTGCACGACTCTGACTTTGAATGTTACAGTCATTGTGGCATTGAATTCCAGGGTGGAAACATCAGTTTAATTGTTTTAGTGACCAGAAAACAAATTTTGATATGCGTCGGCTTACCCAAAATGAAAGGTTACGTGCCCTTGGCATGCTACAGATCGGCACAACACAGGCAGTTGTGGCGCGGACGATGAATGTTTCTCAGTCTGTTATAAGCAGGCTATGGTCCAGATACCGTGATACACAATCTGTACAGGACAGACCACGCTCAGGTCGACCAAGGGCGACAACTCAAGCCCAGGATCGATTTATCCGTACCTTGGCCTTGAGAAATCGTGTCATCACAGCAAATCAGATCAGCGCTCGTCTTCAAACAGACACTGGAGTGAGAGTGAGTGGCCAGACGATTCGGAATCGACTGCATAGGGGTCACCTTCGCGCCTGACGTCCTCGCGTGATCCCTTGTTTGAGAGATCATCACATTCAGGCAAGACGTCGTTGATGTAGGGATCGTCAACACTGGGATAATCGACGCTGGAGCAATGTGATGTTTTCAGATGAGTCAAGGTTCACTGTTGATTTTTTGGACAGACGTAGGAGGGTGTGGCGTCGTCGAAACGAGCGCTTCCAAGACGTTAACGTCATCAGACATGATCGATTTGGGGGTGGTTCTGTTATGGTGTGGGGAGGCATCACTGTTGCTGGAAGAACGGCTTTACATGTTGTTGCAGGGCGTGTTACAGGCCAGTACTACCGGGACAACATCTTGGCAGTCCATGTTGTGCCGTTCGCACGACGTCATGGCCGCCGTTTCATCTTCCAGGATGACAACGCAAGATGTCACAGGGCCAGGATCGTTACAGGTTACCTCCAACAACAGAACATCACCACATTACCTTGGCCAGCACTGAGTCCCGACCTCTCCCCCATCGAGCATGTCTGGGACATGCTTGGACAGAGGTTACGTCAACGTCAACAACGTCCTGCCAATGTCCAAGAACTTGCTGCTGCGTTGCAACAGGAATGGGACAATCTGGACCAAAATGACCTTAGACGTCTCATTAGGAGTATGCCACGTCGGATCAATGCTTGTTTGGCAAACAGAGGAGGATTTACCCGTTACTGACTTGGTTGTGATGCTGTGGTAACTTTGCTGTTTGACCCCGGGTATCATTTTACCCTTATAATGGTCAGTCTGTGCCTTACTTAGTCTAACGATCATTTGGAATAAATCGATGAATGTGAACTTCATTTCATTTTGTCATTTGTTTCTTCGTCAGTTTCATTAGGTGACTTTAATAACACTTAAAAATCAAATATCCCCTACTTTTTTTGAATAGTATATTTTATTTTTGTTGCATGTTGTCTGTATACATTAATTTTGTCTACCATTGATTACAAGTTGAATATCGTGTAGTTTTGTTGTTTTAGCAGAAGTTTTTGTATTTAATGTTTAGTTTAAAACCACTATTGGCACATTGTTCAGATCTGTTGCCAACCAGACCATGGTTTGAAACTAAACATTAAATACAGAAACTTCTGCTAAAACAACAAAACTATTTAATGATAACTAATTAACTAGTGGTTTAGGCATTTGTATCATTTTCTTGATAAAGACGAGAGGATCCTTGTGGAAGCATCCTCATTGTAATAAATCCAGTAATAAATGAAATGTTGTTTAATGGCACATCAGTATCAGTAAATATGTATCCATAAATTGTACCTTACTAAAATATATCCATGGATAACATTGATATCCACTGGATTTTACAATGTATATAAATATAATTAATAGTGAATTATATGATGTGGATGACTGAGTTTATGGTTGAATGAACCTGGTATGTATGTCGGATATTTTGTATATTCAGCAATATACATGTATATATATACACAGTGTGTACGCTCTGTGTTATAAAGCTGATAGACATTTTATTAGCATGATTCATACCCCACAGTTAATAAAATTATATTCTACATTGTTGCAATATATACACTTTATAGTTCATTTATATCGATTCCATGCGTTAACTGCTTGTTAATTTTAAAATATTTTCCTTTTCTCGGGTTGTACAAGTCAATGAAAGTTTTTGTTTACATCTAACGGTGTGCAGTCGGCCAACTTCTCTCCTAAAATGGGCACCGGTTAGATACCGTAGTATTAGTTGTTTCGATGCGCGTGCCGGTGCATGATTACGTGATAAAGACAACGTGCTAATGTTCTATGCACGTGTGGTGAGATTAATAAACGACCTAACAACTTACCTTCAGTGAAACTGTCGTGATTTAGGAAAGGTTGATCAGGTCTTAACGAAATCCTTTTTCTTAATTGTCTCGCTTGCCTTAATTCACTGCGCGGAGTCGGCTGCGCTGTAAACTGACGCTTTAACTTGTATCCAAGTCTCTTTCAACCAGTTACAATCTTGTAGCACTGTTCAATTAGTCTCGATCAATTACTTGGCGATTGATACAATCAGCACCAGGGCCATGTAAGAACTAACTTTGTTTTGGTCAAGAAATAATTCAAATACGTACCGCACCGTTTTGGTATCTTACAACGCTTAAAACGGATCTTTTGGCATTTTCTTAACAAGAAAGATTAGATTAGTGTGTTTAAATACAATAGATCCGAATAATGCAAGGGAGGTAACTATATTTAATAAATGGAATCAGGCTAGCCCACTGACTCCAATGTTAAATGGCTGTAATATCACAGGCTGTAGCTTTTTGGTCAGCATTCCGTTGGTTCCAATCTTAATAGGCACACAGGGAACCGCATTTGGCAATCTGCTCATCATAATTTTGTAGGGGGTTGTCTATTTATAACTTGCCCGACGGGCTCGACTAATCACCGGAATTCACTTACAATCACCGGAATCCCTTACGATCACCGGAACTCACTTGGAAAACCATCGATTCCTCCCACAAAACTAATTTATTTTAAATGCATAATACATTATAATATACCGAATAACTATTTTTATCTCTCGACAGACCAGATGAAGGCGCTGTAGGTGTATCATGATTATGATAACGTAGGGCGCGTCGAATTACCCAAAACAACGCTCAATAACAGTAGAAACGCCAACCCCCCCCCCCCCCCCAAAAAAAAAAAAAAAAAAACAAAAAAAAAAAACAACAAACAAACAAAAACAAAAAACCCAAAAAAAACAACAACCCAAGAATAATTAAGTTGAATTAAAGAACCTCATTGTTTTGTGCCCAAATCGGAGGTTCACGAGAGATAACTCGTATATGTGATTTTTGTTGACCAGAAACTAATGTATAATATCGTTGCAATTCGTTGTAATGTATTGTAATTAGTGATTGATTAATATATAGTTTATTAAAACAGTAATTATATGCATGAAACATATTATTATTGTGTATATAGTGCAATAAATAATTCAATATTATTGCTACATTTTTTTATTTATAATTGCAAATTGTGTCGATTGTCACTATCGGTCATCGACATCGTAACTTGTTTTGAAATAAATAAATGAAATCAATTTAAATAAGTTCCGCTGACAATTAATTGTCTTTGCTCAGAGTATTCTCATGTTATGATAGTTTTTTAGGTTGTGATTGTATGTGATTTATCACCTTTTACAATGACAATATTTGAATATAATATGATTCGTAAATCCGATATTTTGATCATTAAAGGGAGACTACTCGATATATGTGGAGAAAATCGTTTAACTCGTCATATTTCAAAACTATTAGGCATAGAATTCGAGATGTTTTAAAACAATTATGTGTAGAACCTATTTGTAATTCATCAAAAAGCCTCTTTTATCAGCATTTCAGTCCTAATTTTAACTTCCAATATTATTTGACCAAATGCTAATTATATTTCAAAATCCGTTTATTTGCCCATAACTTATTTATATGCGTTGGTTTTTACAGAATGATTGTGGGTATGTTTTAACAAAGTAGGTAATGAGGGTGTAAAGTAATGAATCTGTCTGGGCTGTGATGCATGTGCATGTGGTGCATAGTTTTGATTCGATGTTTGTCAGAGAGGTTTGAAATAAGTTACAGGTTAGGCATGGCTGTTTTCTCCCCTTAGATCAGAGAGATTTTAAAGGACCAGACATGACTGTTATTCTACAGTAACATTAATGACCGACTTTAGATGCTTAGAACCTGGTAATGTCTAGGTGACCGATATTTCAATCTAGGAGTAACCCTGTAAATTACAATAGTTTAGTCTTGGCGAACTTTGTGAATCATACGCCTGTGTAGTCTTGGTGAAGTATATTTAAATCTTGGTGAATTTTAATACAGCTAGTGAGTCTAGGTGAATCCTGAAATTATGTGGATCTGTGACATGTGAAGGTTTTGTGAATTTCCGAGGATCTGTGTTCGGGTAACATTGATATTTTTGTGAAAACCTCTAAAATGTTATATGTAAATTGATAATAACATTATACATATTGAGAATTAATTAATTAATGTGTTGTTTCTTTGGAAATTGGGAAAAGGGGGCAATTAAGTTAAAGAACCTGAGGTCACTTTGTGACAAAGTTTCAAAACATGCGAATGTGTACCCTCGATTTCAAAGGCCATATTTCAGTCAATATTAATGTTATAGCCATATACCTTTGCAGTTTTATATAAATCTATATGCACTATAAGATATATATGGGGTCACTCCACAACTTTCTTAGAATTCGTTCCACTTGACATGAAATGACCCATATCTTTTTAAACCCTGAAGGTAATTTTAGATCTGATAATTCTTTTAGAGAACTTCAATTATAACATGCAATAATCCCTCAAATGATGGTCAGGGCATACAATTTAGAAATTTCAGATTTGTAATAATCGGTTTAAATTCATTCAAATGACGAATAGGGCCTACAGTTTAGAAATTGTACAATGTTTGTAATAATGCACGCGCGTATGCAACCTAACTAACCACTCTATCTACAGCTAAGATTTAGATTTCGACCGACAATTTTGTACGTTTGTTTTGGATGTTAATTGTTTAATTACCCAATATTCACGTTGTCATATAATATCGAAGACGATTTTCATTTTGTTGATACAAAAAGTAGAGGGTTTGTAAAATTTAGAATTATTTCCATATGATAAAAACTATAACAAGTTGAATAACGAACAACGAGGCAGATTGTCAATCGGTAATCGCCAATAATGAGACAGGCCGCCTCGATATTCGTTATTCACCGCTTGAATAACAATCTAGTTTATTTACCGACTTTATACTTTTTTATAAGCAGTGCGATGCAAATGCCAACGAATATCATTTAGAAGGCATTCTGTGATAGTACTAATGATAACGATAAAGTTTCAAATAACCATACTTATTCGCTGCATGCCAAATTAAACTGTCGTCGGCATAAACCGCTACGTCAAGAAGTGTCTTAATGTAGTTATTAGACTAAAGGTCATTAATCAAGATATTGAAAAGTGTTGGGCTTATAACAGAACCCTGGGGTGTGCCATTTTCGAGTTATTTATTGTTTATTGAGAGACCTACATTAACTTGTATTTGCCTATCGGTTAGAAAATCCCTGATTCAGTGGAACGTTCGTCCTGTTACCCCTAGTCCACATACTTTTTTTTTTAAGTAGGCCATCCACCCAAATAAGCCAAATGCCTTGGTCAGGGCGACGAATACTGCTCATTGAGATTTGTTCTTTTAGGACATGTTGTGAAGCGCTGCTGTCTATATCCACTTTGATTGATTTGGACTTATAAAGCCATTACTTTCAGAATAATATCTTAGGCTGTGGGCGTATAAGAATTTCCTCCGACATTCAAAGATATGGTGCCCCTTGAAACTTATTTTTTCCAGACTCTGGCATACCCATAGTGTGCTACGACAACACCGGTTGCTAGGGACACATCTGCATGCTATGGCAACATTGATTTTCAGGTTCACATCTACATGCTATGACAACATCGGTTTTCAGAAAATTTACTGTTAATTTAAATGTTATGTAGTAATATCTCTCTCTCATAAATCATTAGGCTATGTTCACATTGGTATTATTGTCAGGCAATCCAATAATTCTGTATTCAAACAAAATATCGATTGGATCTTGATAACAGCTAGTCGAATAGATTATGAAAACAGTTCAAGGTGTCGTCGTTCAAGGGTCAGCCACAATTAAAGAACGTTTTTTATGTGACGTGAATATCGCTACAGAAACACAGAAAGGAGAAGTGAGAGATCATCATCACATGATCATTTTATTAGTTAACAGACGTCATATTGAAACGTACGAATCTATTAATTGAGCGAACAGAGCACGTGGTGTAAAAATGCGACCAAGGTTTTGTTAATCTTTTTGATACTTGGGGCAACAGCAACGAATAAAATGTGATCTTAACACCTCGTCGCCACACTGCTTCAATCATTTTGAGACTAACATATACATATTATTAAATAACCAAATATCGTCAAATTGCAGCACATCAGAAGAATTACTGCAATTGGAATATTTACCTAGTTATCTCCTAGTTACCTAGTTTGGTTTTGCAGTTGGTTTCCAAGGCGATGAAGAATAAGAATTATTTTAATCTTTATATAACATTTAATCATTATATATTATTAAATCAAAAAAATGTTGATGCAAGGGCTCAGTGATATTTTCATCCCTAGGAGGGGTGTGGGTGGGCATGCAAGTTTTATCCGACCTTTATTCGACCTTTATTATACATGACAGGTATAGTCAATTAACCGACATATTATTTGTTATTTTTTTTGACCAAATGAATATTTACAATAAATCCCTTTACTTGGTGTTAAATGGTGCTCATAAAACACGTCGCGACATATTGGGGTAGTTTATTACAAACATTTACAGTTGATTTAACATCCAATTATTGTATGAAAAAATTAATAAGATCTGTTGAAACAATAATACAATTTATTTTATGATCAGTAGTGGAATACCGCGTTTTATCAGTGAAATAAAAGTGTTATTCCACTGGCTAGCAGTAGTCCATGTTGTTTTTACCTAAAATCATTGTAAAATCATAAAATAAATAGAACATTTGTCATTTTGTCGTGAATAACATATTTTATTTCATCTCTAAGCAAGAAAACGTTTATATTTTCACTCATGCTACGCATTCGTGAAAATATAAGTTTTCTTGCTTCTCGATGAAATAAAATATGTTATTCACTCTAAAACGACAAATATCCTCTATTAACTTCATATAAAATACATCCGTATTCGCCCTTCTCAGTGGATGGGGGACGGATTTGCTGGCAAGGGACAACGTATAGTCATTCGAATGGTACGAAAACCCGAGTTCCCGTATGCACGTAAAAACACCCTTGACAATTGGAATTTGCAGTCGGAGCAAAAAAGTAGGACAGTAAAGGAGCTAAATCGGTAATATTTGGGAGCTAGAAATTGACACAAATGGCTCGCAA